CCTCACATTGTGGCTTTGTCTGTGTATGTTTGCTTCTGTATCTTTATTCATGGTAACTGTGTAATTAATATAGACTCTCATTTTTGTATTTTGTTTTTTAATTATTTTTGTGTATTTCTCTCTTCGTGCTAGCTTTGTAATTGGCCTCTGTGCTGTTAAGTTTGCACGCAAATAAACACGAATTGAATTATTGTTATTATTATTATTATTGTTGTTATTGTTATTTTACCGCCTCTGTGGTCTAATGGTCAGCGTTCCTGGCTACAGATCCAGAGGTCGGCGTTCGATTCCCGGCGCTACCAGATTTTTTCGGAGAAGTACTGTGTCGGGAACGGGGTCCACTCAGCGTCATAATGATAATGGAGGAGCTATTTCAAGGAAATAGCGGCTCCGGTCTAGAAAACCGAAATTAACAGCCGTGGGGATTCGTTGCGCTGACCACGCGACACCCTCTATCCGCAAAAATTTGGCACTAAACTTCGCCGACAAGCGGCGGTCGCTCGGTCGGTATGGTTCGCTTGCGGGCCGAAATCACGGAGTTTATTATTATTATTTTAGTTCTGCATATCTCATTTCATTATTTTTTCAATAAATATAGCGAGATACACGCACAAACGCGTGTAGGTTTCGTGTCATGTAAAGTAATCGATCAAATTGTCCTGTCTAAACAGAAATTGGGGCCGATCACAGTGGCCGCGCGGTCTGAGGCATGAACTGTCTTCGCTCGTTCGAACGCTGGGTTCATGGGTTCGAATCCTACTCAAGGCATGGATGTGTGTTTGCGTTTATTCTGTTTGTGTTGTTCTGTGTATAGGTAGAGGCCTTGCGACGGTCTGATCCCCCGTCCTAGGAGTACTACTGACTGTGTGTAGGATTAAGAAGATGAAAAAGCGGCCAAGGTCCGACAAAAGGCTGTAAAGCGATGGATAGATAAATGGACGGACGGACAGACAAATTACAGTGGTTTGACTGTTCTTCGCAAATTTGTTAACTCGGCTGTGAAATTTAATTAAAATCCAAACAGTGGTTGTCGATTTGTTTCATTCATACAGACGGACGGACTGAACTCCGCTGGATTGCGGACGCCCGTAATAAGAGACTTCCGTAATCTTGGCCTGTGTTCGGAAGGGCATTGTTGATTGCCGAAATTTACGCAATACATGGGTGACTCCTTTGTTACAGTTAAGGTTTAATGTCTACATAGCAAAACATAAGAATCTTATGCCGAAGTCAGCAATGGTGGAGCTATACCTCCACTCCCCCATATGACTCCATGGAATAATGCTTAATTAATTAAGCATAGGGACAATTTTACCTTTTTATAACATAAAATGTTCCAAATCATTATTCAAATATAAAATTTAACGCAATTTTAATAAAATGTAAGGTAACATTTTCCGTAAATGGTTAGATTTCAGATCGGTCCACAGCAGCAAAATGAAACCCTGCATTAACATACACGTACGTCCGGACGGTTGTTTTATTCGATGACTCTCCGTTTTCCGAATTTTCCTACATTGATGCAAATGCCAAATCAACAGATTACCTTCCTTCAGATTATTTAACAATGTTATTTGAGCTACCGGATACAATGAACCATTTCATCAACGTTTATGTGAAAAAGAAAGCCATGCCTTAGCAAGTTGCTAAATACTGATGAACTTTACAAAATATTTAATCCGCAATCCACTATTTGGGAAGTGACTTTGCTTGCAGCGAACCTCGTAACGGAGACATATGAGGGGCATGGAGACAAGGATTCATCTATGGGCCTGTTGAACCTCAGCACCAGATGGGGTGACCGATCAGTTTCACGCGTCGGTCGCTTGATCCCCCACTACAAATTGAATAAGTGTTGTGTTATCCTAAGAGCAATTCTGGACTTAGTAATACAGCGAAGACAAGTGACTAAGCCTCTGCTGGGTTACGAAGTTCGACCTTTCAGCTTATAGTCAGTCGCCTTACTGACTAAGCATTCTCGACTCTGTTGCCGTTTACGTCGCACACAACTCATGCAGTAAGATGATTAAGAACGTTAACAAAAAGATGTGGAGGAGAGGGGGCTAGTCCTCCTGACCACAGTTCCGAAACCTCCGTTCTCAGTGCACCGTAACTGATATGTTCGTCATAGCTGACAAGAATGCTTGGAGTAGTATGACGTCATAGGCGAATATTTTACTCCTGTAACGAGATATTTTCGCACATTGTTATTGCAGATTAACCTTACTTATTCGAATGTTTCGTAATTAATAGTGTTGATATAACTGATTTCTCAACTAGCATAAGATTATCATATCAGTGCACTTCTTAAAGCATAGATTACAGTTCAAGTGTATTTTATCTCATTTCTTAAAGACATTGCGTGCCTTTCAGAACTGTTCTTTTCGTTTAAAATATTTCGTGATTGCACAGTCACAAGTAGGTACTGTGTGTGTTCGTGCGAATCATTTTCATGTTTGCCACTAGAATCTAAAAGCAATAATATGCTTGCTCATCGTTACAACCACCAGTACGATTATAACCACCATTAACAACATACCACGAAAACAACACGGAGTGGGCCGTATTGACTGGCTCCGTCTCCAGCGTTTGTATTATAGTTAAGCCATCCTTCTCCACCCTTCCTCCTCCTCCTAAAACGTCTTCCTGCATCTTCTTTTCCTTTAGGTCTGCTAAAATTGTAATGTTTGTTTCGCATAGAGTTTATCCTTCCAGGACAGTGATTTCAATATTACGCCAGTCTGTATACAGTGATGCTGATTCTTAAGATGTCGTGTGGAGATAGTCATATTTTTCCTTGCAAAATGTGGAAGAGACACATGCATTGTCGGTTTGATTTCGAAGCTTAACATAAATCAGTCTTGGCACTGCGAGTGAATCGATTCAATGTAAATGAAGTGTGGCCTCAGCCTGTTCCAGTTTCGGTTCTACCGGTTTAGACCTGCAGTTTGCAATGGCCTATGTACATTCTGCTTCAGCCGGGTTATTCTGCGGTTACAGGAGGTGATTGGCTTCCAGAACAGTTTGCACTGGACACGTCTAAACTGGGACAGATTCTCCCTTTTCACACTACTAACGCCTTTTTTTTATTATTATTTCCTTGGTTCATCTTTTGTTGGTTATTTTACGATGATTTCAGTTTTTCAGGCTAAATAACCTCTAATAGTATGATGCTGGTTGAATTGGAAAGGATTTGGAAGGAAGCGGTCATGGTCTAATTCAGGCACTACTGTGGAATTTGTCTGGAGGGATGAAGAAAACCACGATAAACCTCAATCAGAGTAGCTGGCAGCCCAACCGAAACTTGAGTTTCTCGGATACAAGTCTAGAGCGCTTCCGCTAGACCACTCTGTTTGCTTCAGTTGACTGATTCATTTCATTCGCCCAACTGCAATTGTATAGGGCTGTTCACTCATAAAAAGATAGAAGCCACTGTACTGAAGATAAAGAAACTAAATTTGTGTTGGAGTTTCTTCCACCCTATAATCATATGTAATTTTTGCACCAGCTCAATCTGCTGATATTGGATAGTTGGATTTCCACATCAAATTTAAGCTCAGGTGGAAGGTATTGGCTTCTAACTGCAGAGCCTCCTATTCAGTCCCAGGTAGCTTCGTATGAGGTTCATGATTGATGAAATGGCAATGGAGCAGGTTCTGCTCTGAGTTTCTGCAACTTTTCCCTGCTAATCATCACTCCACCATGCACATTTATCACATTGGGGATAAGATGTAGGATTCTGGCTGGAAAGCCAGACCACTAGGAGGGCTTAGACATAGATGGGATGATAATTTTAAAGCAGATATTAGAGAAATAAAATGGGGTGATGTGGACTGGATTCATCTGGCTCAGGATAGGAACCAGTGGAGGGATGCTCTGAACTTGGTAATGAACCTTCAGGTTCCAAAAAATTTGGAAAATTCTTGAGGGGCTGAATGACCGGCAACTTCCCAAAAAGGACTCTGTTTCATGGAGTTAGTTCACTTATCACTGACCAAGTAACACAGTATTACATCTTCCATTTTTAAACTTAGGTCTTCATCTTTGACCAGCACTTTATTGGTTATAGAGCGAGGAAGTTAGCGTTGTGACAGTAATTATGCTCATCATCTAGGTAGGCAGATAGTGGCGTTACTTCTACAACAAATATAATGATTCTGCCATATGACTGTATCATTGTGTATACAGTGCACTATATGACAGTGAGATAACATTGATGCATGAGCAGCTTTGAACGCCAACCTCTCGCCCTGCCACCTCAATATGTTCACAATTTTCACCATCATCTCTGTATTAAATAATCATATTGCAGTCCAATATAAACTCCACTTTACATGACACCCAAACTGAACATTATCGGTGTATCCCACAAGTGACTCTTTGAATCTAAATTATGGGGTAACATGGTATACTACAGTCCTGTAGCCCAGAACATTTTCCATTTTGGTGTGCATTTAATGAAATGCAAGAAAACAAATCTTGTCTGTAAGGAAAGAAGGAAATTATAATTTTATAACTGCAGTGTAATTACTTAGCTCCTTCATCAAGAAACTTGTAAAGGTAAAGTTGGCCCTGGGCTTAACTAATTAAGCATTACGCCATGAAGGTGTAAGGGGTAGTGGATGTATAGATTCAGCTTCACGCCTCAGCCGCCTAACCCCAAGGGTAAGCGCCCCGCGGTACGCATTGAACAGGAGCTTTGGTGGGTCCCAGAGTTGATCTGAATGACATGGAGAAGAAACATTTCTGCCCCTACTGGGACTCGAACTCCCACCCCTCTGCTGTCCAGCCCATAGCCAGTCACTATACCGTGTTATCACGGCTCCCCAACAAGAAACTTGTGTCTTCAATATATAAATATTAGGGTCAGCAAAAGGTGCACAGTTGTGAAGTAGGAATTGGAAACTTATGTTTGCACTCTCCTTCCCATGCAAGATATAACATGTTCTCTAACAGTTAACATATTTTAACTTTATTAAATGTTTGTATTTTTTTTATAGAATGATGAGAACACGTATGGCTTTGAGACACCTTCCAAGCCTGCATGTAAGCATTTGTGGAAGTGCTGCGTGGAACATCATGCTTTCTTCCGGTTAGTTCAGGTGTCACCAGCCACTCCAGATATCTTCGCCTTGGGCTCTAGATTTAGGTACAGGTATGTTCAGAAATGAGTTGACGCTTCCTCTTGGTATAGCAACCATTTCGTTCATGTACCATCCAGAAAATGTTACACTTTTTATGGACATTCCAGTTATACCTTTGATTTTTATTTCTGATTTTCATTATTGTGACTCCCAGTCTCTCAGATCATATTTCTATCCATATTTATAAATACTGTTTCAACCGAAGCGATTATAACCTCAAATCATTGAATGAAATTGGATATCTGATCATGAATGGTAAGAAAATAATAATTGGGAAGGAGATGGCCCTGGACAGTTTGAGAGAACTGAATAAATTCATGAAATACTGTAGTCAGTATGATCTGTAACACGGTCAAATCAGATTAGATACTTCACAAGTAAATAAAAATTTAATCCAATTTGTATTCACTATGCTGTTAGATGGCTTCAGAATATGAATTTTGGATATGTTAACCAGTAAAGACCTAAGTCTGATTTCTAACCACAGTTTCAGGCCATTGGTAACAACAGCCATGAATAATTTATGACATTTTGTGTTTTTGTTTTTCCTCTTTTTATATGCATTAGTGGCCGAACAGAGAAACAAGCACAGAGAGATGCCCAGCTGCGGTTGCGCAGTCCGCCGCAGTTCACACGAACGCCAAGTCGGCGGTATCAGCGGCGTATAGTAGAAGGAGCACAGGACAGTAAGTTCAAATTTTAAGCTTTAAATTTATTCCTGCCACCTGACCCTGAATGTTTTAAGAAAAATAAAGAACAATGAAAGACAGTCAGTCATTGAAGGTAAAGGTAAAGTTATCCTTGAGCTTAATTAATTAACCATGAAGACGATGATGGAGTGGAGGTATAGTTCCACCATTCTTAACCTCAGCACTGGATGGAGGTGAACGGTCAGCTTCACGCCTCTGCTGCTTTTTCCCTGGGGAAACAGCTTCCAGTACCCATTGTATAGGAGGTTGGGAGGGACCTAAAGCTGGTCTCACTTTTATGGGGAAGAGATAAGTTCTTTTCCCTGCCTGGAGTCAACCCCCGGTTCCTCAGTCATTTAGTTCATATCCTAGGCACCATATTGACTGCTATAAAAAATGAAATTTTGTTCACAAGACAAATCCGTTTTTTATGTTAACAGTAGTCAATTCATTGCACTAGAAACTTTCTATGGCTCTTGAGCATCTCAGAATAGATTTAATCTATTTTGTGGGGAGACTTACATCCCAGCCTCTAACCTGGTATGGGAGGAGTTACCACTGGGGATTTAAATTCAGACGTGCAGAACAACACTGGCCCCATTTCTTTTTATAAATCTCTTATTTTCTTGTCATCAGAAACGAAGTTAGTGTCTCCAGAACAAAGAAAGTATTCATTTAGAATATCTCCAATATTTGCCTTTGATAAATGTTTCTGAGGTGATGCCGTGTCTACTAACAGCAGATTACGATATACTTTTCCAGCATCATTTACTCAAAAAAAAATCAAGGAATCTGATTGGTTCAAACAGTAATTCAGTCTTTAAATTACAAAAAAAAAAAGGTCTAAGGCTCATTAAAGGAGTGAAAAACAGGGTGTCCTGTAGAAGTCTATTTGGTGATTTTAAGATTTTGACAGCAACTTCTTTAAATATATATATATATGAGATCTTATACTTTTTAAAAAAGAACAAGATATACACAATTCATTATTCTGACATTCACAAGTATAACACTAAAGGAAAACAGGATTTGTATGTTCAAACGTGCAACACTGTTCGTTGCAAAATAAGTGTAATTAACATGGGAATCAAAATATATAACAGGTTTCCCCTGAATTAAAAAGAATAGAAAATTTTAGTTTTTAAAAATACATTAAAACGTTATTTACTACAAAACTGTTTTTATTCTCTGCATGAATTTTTTAATAACAATGATGGGCGGTAGCTTGGTGGCTCAGGTTGGTTCTGATGTGGTATGGTTGTACATAGATGGTATAAGTGTATGCATTGCTTTATGTTGGATTGCTGAGTGAGGTCATCCTCTGTTGCTAGCTTCAGCTGGGGGACAGTGATCCTAAGATTATTGTATTGTTCGTAGTCTTATGCATCATTTTGTACATTTTTAAGAGTTGATGACTTGTGTTTTAGGGGGCTTAAACTGACTTGTCCAAATGTACCTGTGTAACAGTTTATGGATGTAAATAAATTATGAATTATCAAACATCAGGCATTAGCCTCAGCCTTCATCTTGTAAAGAATGAGCAAATTTATGTGATTCAAATAGTATTCGTGAGATGGAAGCACAGGCATAAGCATTCGTCCGTGTGAAATACATAGCACTCAACTGTGCAGACAGCAGCTGCATGCTATGCACAGCACAGTGCTGGCGGGTTAAAAAATACAGACCTAATAACTGAACATTTTTACCTCATTATTATTTGCCTGTATGGTATCTGTCATATATTGCCAAATATTCCTTAGAATTCCTGTTTTTAATAAACCACGCACGGAATTAAAGTAAAGTAAGTTAAACAAAACTAGTGTATCTTAATCAAAGGTAACATAATTTAGATCATATTAAGAGGGATGGGCATAAGTGACTTTTATCCGATTATGACCTGTTGTGACAAAGCAAGGTGATATAGGGGTATTGCTTGTATTTGGGAGCTGCTAACCAAAGGTAACATAATTTAGATCAGATTAAGAGGGACGGGCATAAGTAACTTTTATCCGATTATGACCTGTTATGACAAAGCAAGGTGATGTCAGGGTATTGCTTGTATTTTGGAGCTGCTCTATTGATAGCTGGGATACCACTGAGATCTTTTTGTGGTTTTCCTTGGGGTCTCCACGAAAATACTAGTGAAATATCACAAATCATTCTTGTTTGAATTTCCCTAGGTCTATAACATACACCTGGCAGGAAATAATATAACTGCAGAACTTCTTATGAACAAAATTCTGGTCACTATATTATAAAGGCAGACTAACAACTCTTCCTTGTTTTTTAAATCATTTTTATCACAAATATTTTACATTACAGTCACATCCTTTATTCAAATCAATGTGTGTGTAATTGCTGAGAATTATTTTTTCTTTTACTCTTTCATTACAGCTCCAAAGGTTGAAGAAAATGTGAATAATGAAAACATTCCTCCTCAAGAAATGAAGACAGTTTCAATACCCCAACCAGCTCAGTCGTAAGTATAATTCTTTATGCTGGAACAGCAGAAGTAAGAGCCTTGTGCAAATTAAGTTTAATATGCTGCATAAGTACTTTTATTGTCACATTTAAGCACTGACAGTGCTTCCATGAGGACTGAATGCTTTAAAGGCTAGTATTGTATTGCATTTATATGTCTTCTTACATTTAACTAATTGCTATCCTTTATATCATCAGCTATGTCTGTATTTTGTGGTCTGCTTCTTATTTCTTATTTTTTACTTCCATTCCTTAAGGGTATGTATTGTGGAGATCAAGAAAATTCCATGTGTACTATTTCTTCTCATCTTCTTATCAGTCATTTTCATAATCCCTGTTTCAATTAAAAAACATGATCTCAATTTGAATATAACATTCTGTAACCTTAGTGAAATATCCATATTTTTGGTTAGAATTTACCTTTAATTTCTCAGTTACATACTGTGTGTTCAGTCATTCATCTAAATAAATATATATATATATATATATATATATATAAACGATTATATATCACACGTTTAAGGAATTTAAAATTGGAGGATTATTGAATTTGTAATCTTTATTTATAATGTTCATTATTTTACCAGTATATTCTCTGCTTTTTCAAAACTTTTGTAGTGGTTTCCCTAACCATTGCATTGAGATTATCTCGTTATAGTATGAATAAATAACTAGAAAAATAATAAAAAATAAAATAATTATAAAAATTGCTTTTAAGCATGATACATAAACTATGAAATTACACAAATTCTAGTTGCCATAGCAAGAGAGAGAGAGAGTTGTGTGTTAAGGTGTTGCTTCAACATAAGTTACATAGTAGGTTACAACCAAATGAGCGGTGTTTTGTTTTATTGTATCATTTCTGTTCTGTAAGTATTGATAATATTTTGATGTGGATATATGAAATTATTGTCCTATATAAAGGGGACTGGGTACAGTTGACAGTGCCCTATATAAGGACCAGTGGGTAGAGGTGACTGTTTTTGCGTGTTATTCATGGAAGATGGCACTATACTCCAGCCTCAGTATATCAATCAATAATGCGTAAGACTAGGAGGGAATTAGAGAAAGCAGGAGAAGTTAATGGTACAAAAGCATATATAAAAATTGATGAGACTTTCCATTGAATTCTCAGTGGGTGTGGCACTATTTTATATGAGTATGTCTGGTGGGATTCTCTTGAATTTAAGAGAAGAATATTGTCACATTTTGGGTATGTCACGCGACAAATAACTTTACATAGGTCTCGGATTTAGCGAATCTTTATTGAACATTCACTCTTACACACCGTACAACTGTTATCACTTTTAGTGTCACTTGACTTCTGGCCTAATACTTCAATGCAACATCTCAACTATCCTTGGCCATGGTTGGATCTCAACTGTCTTCTGTCTGTAGCTCTCGGCTTATGTAGGTGTTCTGCGGACTCAGTAGAGGACACCCCTCACCAAGGTTCGATCTCATGTGTTCGGCAATCCGTTGCTTCGGGAACGCTCCTTATATGCTGGTAACAAGTTCTGGCTCATCCCTTGTTACTCAACGGCCTTCTGTTGTTCATCTCCAAGGAAACACGGCATTGTCTATGCAACGGCTTGCTGTTATTGCGTTACCATGGAAGTGCCTATTCCAAACACATTACAATATATTGTCTTTTCAATATGCATTCTTTCAATATGATACTAAGATCTAAATCCTCAAAGAGTGTATGTATAACATGTTTAGAGATTTTTGGAGGCTGGTATAGCAGAGGTCATTCCTAAGCAATGAGAATATTTGAGCTTGACAAAAAAAGATATAACAAACATTTTATGGCTCTAAAGTAAAAATATAAAAGATAAATATGAATCTATTCTTTCCTTAACAGAAATGTTATATTTCATTTTTATATATTGTAGCATGTGATCACTTTATTTGATGCAGTCTGCTTACATGTACTGGCTGGTGATGACAGCTAGAATGAGTATGGTTAAATGATCACTTTGTATAGTCTGATTTTAAAGTCACTGTGTACCTATGCACTAAAAATAAAAGCACCTACTTCAGTATAAACTTTTTAAGTTTAGTAACAGCATGACATTTATCATGGTAATGTTGGCGGTCTTGATCTCATGTTTTGTAGGCTAGGGAAGTATGTAGAAAATAAAAACCTGAAGTTCTTGGAATATTTTTTATCTATTTGAGACACTACATCACATTACAATGTGTCAATTAAAAATTTCATGACACCAGTTCTGTTGTGAATGCTGTGAGGTTGATTTTAGCCTACAGTGCCAACATGGCAGAATATGCTTATTGAAGACTGCACATCATGGAACCCCAAAAATTCAGTCCACATGCTGGTGCAACAAACAGGTATCAGGCAATAGTATGTGCCCAGAGACTTCATGATCATTCTGTAAAAAGAGTATGATGGAAATTCGACATCAGTCTCCAGCAACGTATATAGTAAAAGGAACAAATGTGTTGCCAGAAACAAGTTGTTTTTTTGGGGGGGGGGGGGGGGGGTTGCAATTGGTTCAGTATTCCATTGTATGATAAATTTTTGCAAATGCTGTGATGAATCTCTGGGTTCCATAGAAGTATGGAATTTCGTGACAAGCTGAGGCAGGCCATGTCATGCCTCAGGTGGTTAGTTGCCGGCTTGCCACCACCATTGCCCTGGTTCAATCCCAGGTCATGTCATATGTGAATTGTGGACAAAATGGCATTAGGACAGGTTTTCTCTGAGTACTTCGGTTTCCTCTGCCAATTAGAATTCCACCACCTGCTCCATATACATTAACCATCCTATTATCAATGCTGCATAGTCTTGATACTGACAAAACAAAAGAACAAACAAACTATGCAATTTTATTCCACAAGCGAACTATACCAACCAAGCAACCGCCACTTGTCAGCGTTAGTGCCAGCTTTTGCAGATAGAGGGTGTCGGGTGGTCAGTGCAATGGGTTCCCATGGCCGTTAATCTCTTTTTTTCTAGACCGGAGCCACTACTTTTCCATTCAAATAGCTCCTCAGTTATCCTCACGAGGCTCGGTGGACCCCATTCCAGATCCACTACTTCTCAGAAAATCTGGTAGCACTGGGAGTCAAACCCGGACCTCTGGATCTGTAGCCAGGAACTCTGACCACTAGACCACAGAGGCGGTCTTGATACTGACAACACTGTTAAATAACAAAAGAAAAGAAAGAAAAAGGAAAAAGAAAATTAGCTGAGTTATTACTGATTTCAGAGTGTTCCTGTTGTGAATAGAGTTCTTGTGGGGTTACCCACTGTAGAAGTGGGCAGTTTCTGACATTTCAGAGGTACATCCTGCCCCCATCTTTAGGATAAGCGTATTCAGGGTTCAGCTCATGTAACCACCCAAGGACTGAAAAACATCAAAACCTTAGTCATATGATTTTTTCAAGGTAAATATTGTGCCATAGAGTTAGGTTTTATAGTGACAAGTTCCTGTTACCTCTTCTTATTTTATTCAGTAAATGGTAGTTTAGGACGTTTGTTAATCATCTGTATGCCATGTACACACATAGTTTAGTACATACATGTAAAGCATTATTTTTGTACTGGAATGAATTCTGTGCGCTGAAACAGGGTTGGTAGCCTGTACCGATCAACGTGCAGTATTCCAGCCGTCTTGCCATCACATCCTCGCCCAGATTCACCGCGCAGCACTCGCAGTGCTCCTTGGACACAGCCTCATGTCCGTGGCCTCTACACCACTTCCAGCCCTCGATCTGTTAGGTCTGCTGGAAATAACAGTCAGCTACTTAGTCGTCTCACCAGGAGGTCATCAAGCGTGGAAAGCCAAAGTTCGAATGATTCCCGCTCCTGTAAAAGGTGAGTTCACTGCCCAGTAGCAGTGGAGAATATTGAACACTAATGATCAGTATCAGTCAGAGTGTAATAGATAGCATCCCTGCCTTTTAATTTGGAGGTATCCATTTTAAATAAGTGATTATCCTGACTGTGACTTATCGTGGTTTTTCTCATCCCCCCCCCTCAGACAAATTGTGGGACAGTATCTTAAGATGGGCCATAACTGCTTGCTTCCACGCTTTTCCATGCAAATTATTCATAACCATGCTGCTGTGTCTCATTCAACACTACACCTGATATAGTTAACAAAGTGGCATTAAATATACTGTCGCGTATCGGGCGTATATCGCGACAAATAACTTCTCGATGTATTTGATGTAGCGAATTTTATTTCACATTCGCACTTACAATCACCCAAATTACAGATTTACGATTACTGCTATCTGCAGTATCACAAATAGTACACTCCAAATGCCACAATACAACTGGTTGCTGGCTAACTCGGGACTAACTCGGAGGTAGCTCGAGGACTCACTCGGAGGTAGCTCCAGGACTGGCTGTGAATAGCCTTCGCTGCGCCTTATGTAGCCTCGATTGGACAATTGTCATCTGGTGCCGTGTTGCTAGCCACGCTGTCCGGAGTTGTTGACTGCTGCCTAGCAACCGCGATTTCCCTCGGTGACGTCACCGCTACGTTACCGTGCGGAGGAGGGGGAGTGGAGCGCTGACNTGAGTGATCAGCTCGTCACGAGGCATCTACCTGTACACAAACGCAGAAAAACGCACACACACAAACTAAACATCCATGCCCTGAGTGGGATTCGAACCCATGATCCTGGTTTCCAAGCGAGCGAAGACAGTACATGCCTTAGATCGCTCGGCTACCGTGACTGGCTAAATATACATATACCAGTATCAATTTTTGATGAATGGATGACCTAAAAAGTAATACTAAACAATCAGTTGCATTGTGATTGAGCTAAAAATGGATATTCTGGAGACATATGCTGTCTCCATGGTTGGAATCAGTGAGTGAAGCGACTGTAATAAATGACTGCTTTTGTGTATGTGCATGCACATGTGTGTGTATATGATGAGCCACTCACTATCTCCAAAATATGGGATTTTAACTCAACCATGTTGCACCTTACAGACAGGAAGATTTTATCACATTTATTAATCGTGAAAACTTGGGATTTTAGATAATAATGGACTTCAGAGATATTTTAATGGGATCTAGTATTTGACATAAATATCTTCTGTGAACCGACAATTATAAATATTAAATTTGTCATTAACAGTGTGTAGTTATATTTTACAGATCTGAACATAGATTGGTGATGTCCACAGTGAATAATGTGATTGTTCCAGACATCGACATCATCGCAGTCGTCGGGGATCTGACAATGAAAGTGAATTATCAAAGTGTTCAGGAAAGTCACATGGCCACAGGCGGCACCGACACCGTTCCCATGGAAACAAACGTGACTCAGGTTCTGAGCAAGATCAGCACCATCGACATCGACACAAGGGATCCAGCAGACACAGGTGAAGTTGCAAAACTACAAAATCACAGAAGCTAAAGTCAAAAGATCCTCACTTTGAAATGTATGTGTAAGTACCTCATACCTCTGACAGTGTAATATACAAGGTGTGTCCCAGAAGTCATGAAATATATATTTTAAATTTATTGATGATAGACAGAAGAGGATACTGTCATTTGAAGGAGAAAGCTCTAGATCGCATTAACTCTTTGACTGGCGTGGGCGTGTTTTAACGCCCGGACGATGCCAGCTGTTCCCTGGCGTTGGCGTGTTTTAACGCTTTGACAATCTCTTCCCTTCTTTGCTCTCTTGGCACTCATCAACCAAAGACATATATATGATACTTTTTGTGCATGTTTGTAAAGAACCCTTGTAAACTTTGTGGGGGTCTATATTACTGTCAGAACCCTCTGATAAGGAAAAGGTCAGAAAATATTTCACATTCATTCAGTTTCACCATGGCTTCTTGCAGCAAGTGTCTTCGTGTTCCTACAGACCAGCTGGAAAATGTTGTGTACGAGATTTGTTCTGATGATGATAGTTTCGATGAAATAATGATTCCTGAATTGGATGAAGTTGATAGTGACAATAATACAGTGATAGACAATGAT